TTCTCTGGGAATTCCAGCCCAGCCCCTCCCCACCCCCCCCGCCCGGGAACTCTTCCCAATCTCCCCCCCAAATCCCCCCTTTCCCACTGGGATCCATTCCCATGTCCCATTCCCGGGCTCGGCCGTTCCCGCAGGTCCGGAACGAGTTCTACAAGGACACCCAGGGCGTTCTCCTGGTCTACGACGTGGGATCCAAGGAATCCTTCGACTCCCTGGATTCCTGGCTGGCCGAGATGAAGCAGGAGCTGGGCCCCCACGGGAACATGGAGAACGTCGTCTTCGTCGTCTGCGCCAACAAGGTGGGAATTCCGGAGCTTCCCGAGATTCCTGGATGGAGATCCGGCGGGTGGGAAGGGCGGGAAGCGGGGCCGGGTTGAAGGGAGGATGTTCTGAGGGAGGGGGGTGAGGAAAAACAGGGATTTGGGAATCTTTGTGAGGGGAAACAGGGATTTTGGGAATGTTTGTGAGGGACAAGAGGGATTTGGGAATGTTTGTGAGGGACAAGAGTGATTTGGGAATGTTTGTGAGGAAAAATAGGGATTTTGGGAATGTTTGTGAGCAACAAGAGGGATTTGGGAATGTTTGTGCGGAACAAGAGGGATTTTGGGAATGTGGTTTGTAGGGAATTCATTCCAAGAAAAGTGTGTGAGGAACAAGAGGGATTTGGAAATGTTTGTGAGGGAAAACAGGGATTTTGGGAATGTTTGTGAGCAACAGGGATTTGGGAATGTTTGTGAGGGAAAACAGGGAATGTGGGAATGTTTGCGAGGAACAAGAGGGATTTGCGGAATGTTTGTGAGGAATAAGAGGGATTTTGGGAATGTTTGTGAGGAACAAGAGGGATTTTGGGAATGTTTGTGAGGAACAAGAGGGATTTTGGGAATGTTTGTGAGGAAAAACAGGGATTTGGGAATGTTTGTGAGGGATAAACAGGGTTTTGGGAATGTTTGTGAGGGAAAACAGGGATTTGGGAATGTTTGTGAGGGAAACCAGGGATTTGGGAATGTTTGTGAGGAACAAGAGGGATTTGGGAATGTTTGTGAGGAACAAGAGGGATTTGGGAATAAGGTTTTTAGGGAATTCATTCCAAGAAAAGTGTGTGAGGAAAATCAAGCATTTGGGAATGTGTGTGAGGAAAAACAGGGATTTGGGAATGTTTGTGAGGAACAAGAGGGATTTGGGAATAAGGTTTTTAGGGAATTCATTCCAAGAAAAGTGTGTGAGGAAAAACAAGCATTTGGGAATGTTAGTGAGGAAAAACAGGGATTTGGGAATGTTTGTG